AAAGGTCGAAAAAAAGTTGGTAAGAATGGGTGGTTTTCAGTGCCTTGGAGTGGTGCTTTGAACTTGTGGAAAAGATCACCCGCAAATTGAAGGGTACTGATGAAGACGGTATCGAAAACAGCGTGAAATTCGCTCAAAATTGAAGTTCTGTCAGTGGTAGTGCTGAAGAAAGTACGAGGGCTTCATAAGCGTAGTCGGCATCATATCGTTGCAGCGAAGCGGTGGTCAAGTGGATAGTGTGTCCGCCTCGAGTCTGCACGGGTTTGTGGTTCGAGTCTACCCGACGGCAACTGTTTTGCATTTTTGATAAACGTTCCCAAACTGACGCAAATTGCTTTAGAGTCAAAACTAACGCTATATTCACAGTCAGGACAACCAGTAGCTCTTACAAATGGATTTTCTATAAAAACTGGCGGGATAAGTTTGCAGCGCCAAACTGGCGCCAAATGGCGCCTACGCCAAAAACGAAAGCCATATTCGTGATCAGGACCCTGATTTACCCCCACATGCAAATTTCGGGAAAAATCGAGGTTTTGACCTAACTTCGAAAAAGGGGGTGACCATGGGCTACAGGTCGTCATGCACGCCAGCGAGCAACTTGAAGACGTGCGCGGCGCGGAAATCAAGCGGAATGCCTTGTTGGTTCACGAGAACCAAAATTCGTTTTATACTAAACATCTTCCATCACGTCCCAGTCCTTGGAATCGATCCAGCTATCGAGATGCAGCCGTTCGAGTGGAGGACCCGTGGGTCCAATATACCACGTTATCAGATTAAAAGGTTGATCGGGCCCTTAACCTGAAGTGTGTGTAGCGGTGTGGTATTTAGAAACACGGGATAGCCATACACATATTTATTCATTACATAATAAGATAAGGGAATAAGGGGGAAAGGGTAGACGAGGGAGTCCAAGGCTGGACTCGGCAGGAACTCTCGTTCCCGGCTGGCGGCGGCTTAAGTAGGCCTCCATGCCTTGACGTGACTCACTATGCCACGTCTCGTAGGTGGTCCCGCCTTTCGGCGAGGACGTGAGCGAGGACATGACATCTCCATTCCCACAGAAAGCTCGACCTCGAGCTTTAGCGTCGTTGCCCATCACTTCGCAGATCCTTGCTGGTGTTTCCACATAAGCAATTTCAATGGAATAATTGCGAAGTAATGAACATGAGATGAAATAGGGATGAAGGCGAACGAAGACAATCTTAAGGAGCCGGACTTGAACTACGGCTTCACTAGAATCGACCTGGAGTCATGATGCAGCCATTTTGTGCCAGCTGAGAACATATGGAGTCATTGGAAAGATAGATATTGACCGGATATATCGAAAACTACGGTCACTCACACTTTCAAAAGATCAGCTCGTCCTCGAGCGTAAGATATGATATATAAGACAAGGAGAGGTTAAGTACGTCCTTGTTGTAGAGGTAAATGAAGTAGTGGCGGATGGGACAAAACATTACATGAAATGTAAGGCGAGCTACTCTATGCGTTAATATTACATATTGTACCAATGTTAAGGTGATAATTACGAATATACATCGAATCGTTTAAAGCTATGGGTTAAACAATCAGTAAAAATATGGGAAAAATGTGAGTATTGTGTAGGCTTTTTTTCATATTTGTTGAATACAGCACAAATACTATTCATAAGTGGTAAGCATTTTCTACTTAAAAAAGATACGAATACTAGTCTAGGTCACTGCACTCTGTTTTTGCGACTAGTACACGAGTACAATAATGAAACATGAGTCGAATACTAGTCTAGTTTTTTTTTTGGAAAAAAAACATTAAGCGACTAGTATAAGGGCGTTTGTGAGCTACTACTAGGAGATTGATTTTTGAGAAAAGACGCTGCTTTAAATTCTTTGAACCGCCTATTCAAAGAATCTTCTTTTAAAATAGGGCGCGGTGCGACGAAAGTGAAGAAAACAAACTGACCTAGGAGGACTAATTGTTCAAGTGAACAAATAGCACCTCCTTGTATTTAGTCATAGGACTCCGCTAAATGTGACTGCTTTTCCTGAAGACGACGAGAGCGTCGGATTAAGGGGTGTTCTTTGTTAACTGATGTTTCCGTTGTTACTGGCACAAGTGATTGTGATTGTGATGTTGGGATGGAAGCATTAGCTGACAGAGAACGAGGCGAATACATTTTTAGACGGTTAATGTGTACGACTTGTCGCGTAGAGCGACCCACAAGGTTAGTAATTGTTATGTTAGGACGGTTAATGTCCTTAATCACAAAAGGGCCTTTCCATTGGTTTGTGAGCTTAGGACGAACTGTGTCGTCGTGCAAAAGAACTAGGTCACCAATGGAAATGTCCTTAGGGTATACCTTGTGGTAAAGGTCGTATCCAAGTTTGTAGATTGCTGATTTCTTCGCAATTTCGCATCCAATTTTCATGATTGTCTCTTTCAGACCGACTGCGAACTGGTCTGCGTAATCGTCGGATGCGAATACGGCACGGAAGGGGAGCTCGTGTAGAACGTCACCCCATGTAATTGGACATCGACCATGGACAACGAAGAACGGGCTATATCCTGTAGTTGTATTCTCACTACAATTATAAGCAAATACTATTGGTTGCAAAAAATCGGACCAAAGATCTCGTGATTCAGAACAATATGCTGTTAATGAATCTGTGATGACCTTAACTAGTCTTTCTGCTTGTCCATTTGCTTTATGGTTATAGCTAGTAGTAAATTTATTAGTGATGCCTAAAGTTTTGTTAATTTTCGAAAATATTTCGCTAGTGTAATTTGATCCACGGTCAGACACGATTTCCATGGGGATTCCATGTTTTGAAATAACATCATTAATCAGTATTTTTACCACTGATTCTGCTGTTTGGTCTGCTAATGGACTACAAATTACAAATTTACTAAAGGCACACACCGTTATTGAAATAAACTTACTTCCGTCCATGCATTGCGGAAGGGGTCCAATGATATCCGTGTGGACACGTTCGAAAGGTCTCTGCGGAACTGGGAACGTACCCATTTGTTCGCGTATTATATGCGGCGACGGTGTTTTTACTTTCTGACACACTGGACATGTGTTAACATATGTCGTCACATCTTGGTAGAGGTTGGGCCAAAAATACTTTTCCTTAATTGTTTTATATGTTTTATGGATTCCAAAATGGGATCCTAGGAGTGGGTTATCATGATATAGAGCAATTAAATCAGATTGTATATTCGAGTCGGGAATAAGTAATTTGGGTTTTCCGTGTATCATATAATACAGGGAATTATTACGAACTGAAAAATTCTGCAACTTGCTTTCAAATTCTGGAGGAGGTTCGTCCAGCTCGTTCGTGAGAAATTTGAGGAGCGACCGTACTTAGAGTTTTTCTGGCTCTGTTGGATCTCTTCTAGAGAAGGGAAAGACTGTGCTAAAATAGAAGTAACGTTTGGTAATGGAAAACGACTCAAAAAGTCACACAGAGTGTTGTGTTTCCCTGGGCGATATTCGATTTTTAGGTCGTAAGCTTGTATAGCAATTTGATATTTTGCTAGACGACCGACTAAATCTGACCTATGCATAAGGGATTTGAGAGGAGCGTGATCCGTTACTAACGTAATTTTTGCGTTAGCTACATAAGGGTAAAAGTGTTTTAGTGCGAAAACAATGGCTAATGCTTCTAATTCGATTACTGCGTAGTTTTTCTCATGCTTATTGAGAGAACGACTACAGTAAGCGATTGGATGTTCTTGTTGCGTTTTGGGGTTGATTTGTAGTAAACATGCGCCAACGCCAATGGTAGATGCGTCCGTATGTATTATATACGGTTGTTTAAAGATTGGAGACACTAGTAGGGGTGCTGCTATTAAGGACTGTTTTAAAGCGAGGAACGCTTTTTCGTGAGATTCAGTCCAATCGAATGGATTATTTTTGACTAATAAGGTTATGCAGCGGAGTTGCTATTATGGAAAATCGCGGTATGTACCGACGGAAGTAAGAGGCGGCTCCTAGGAAAGATTTTACACTTTTGACGTCTGTAGGACGTGCTATATCTGCGATGCTGGCCACTTTACTAGGGTTAGGGCGAGTGCCGTTTTTGCTGACAAGAACTCCTAAATATTGCACTTCTGTTTGAAAGAAAGAACACTTTTCCGGGGTTAGTTTCATTCCAAAAGCTATTATGCGTTGGAATATTTCTTCCAGATCGATCAAGTGCTGTTCGATCGATTGGCTTGCGATAATTATGTCGTCAATGTAGGCAAAACAACAGGATTTTAATTCTCTAATAAGGCTGTTAGCTACTCTCTGAAATGTAGCTGGTGCGCCTTTTAGACCTTGTGCCATTACCGTAAAGTGATACAGTCCGAGAAAGGAAGAAAAAGCTGTACGCTCTTTATGTTTTTCGTTCAAAGGAATTTGAAAGAAACCACTTTTAAAATCTAGCACTGTGTAGATTTCTTTGCCGCTGACAAGATCTAAAATATCTTGCATATGCGGTATACAATAGGTTCTCGGTCTCAGTTATGGCATTAATTTGACGGTAGTCAACTGTAAAACGCCATTGGTCCTTATTTGGACCTTTTTTTACTAAGACTATTGGAGATGCAAATTTGCTAGTGCTAGGTTCTATGATGTTAATCCGTAGCATTTCTTTGATTTGACGTTCAATTTCTTGACGTTTCTCTAATGGGACGCGATAAGGTCTTTGCTTAGGCGTTTTTGAATGTGGTGTGAAATGGATACTATGAGTAATAGGTCCTTTGTAGCGACCTAGATTTCCATCGTTATTTACGAAACTGTTTTGATACTTGTTGAGTAATTTTTCAAAATTGTGGAGTTGTTTGGAGTTTAGAATAGTTTTGTTAAGAGTTATACGATTCAAAAGTGAAGCTGAAACATTATTTGGAAAGTGAGGTAAATCTCGAGCATAGTCAGCTTCAGAAGGAATATATTCGGAAGCCTCACGTGAGACATTACATGGGGGAGTGATATTGTTGGTGGAATTGATGGAAAATATAGGTTTCCACATCATGTTAATACCCACAAAGAAAGCTGTGGCTATCTGCGTGTTTTTCTGCAGATGGATAGCATTAGGGCTGGAATTGAAAACACGTACAACAACATTGCCGTCTATTTTAGGGCAAGAAAGGGTTTTTCCTACTTGAATACCAAGTGGTAAATTGTTGTTGAGGTTATCTGCGGTAAAAAGTTCCCAATGTTGTGGAAATGAAGTATATGTTGTACCTAATGTTACATGATCCGAAAAAGGTTGTAGGTGAATTTCGTTGATGAGATAAACAGGAAATTGACGAAAATTAGCAGGATTTTTGTCAATGGAAACGAATGGGATCGATATGGAGTCAAACGAAATCGTGTTATATTTGTAATTGATAGATAAATTTTGTGCAAATTGAGAGATGACGTCGTTTCCTAAGGATGAACGGAGAAGAACAATTTGCGTCTGAGGCAATGTAGCACGTAATTTGCATGGTTTTGTTTCCTATTGTAAGGTTTGGGGTAAATTGGCCTAGGAGTTTGAGAAAAGTCCCATTGGCTGTTACGCCTTGTTTGATTGATGACGGAGAGAAAGAAGCGTTAATTTTTCGCGCTATACTTTCAGAAATTATCGTAAGAGCGGATCCTGTATCGAAAAGTGCTACTACCGCGGATTGATTGAGTTTTGTTGGCACGTAAATCATCGAGCTTGTAGTTTGAGTATGAATGCACGCAATGTTAGGAATATAGTTGAGGAAAGGGTTTAGGTTGCGATGGTTTTGGTCTTGGCCTTGCTTCGGGTTGAGAGACTGAAGAAGAAGGCCTATGTGTTAGAGGAACATCCATATTGGAAGGGAAGTGAACTGAAACGCGCATGGGATCTGTATCTATCGAACGACTGTTTGAGCTACGTCGTTGTCTTCGTGCCGTTACCGTGGGACGATTGTTAATCAGCGGTGTATCTGGTGGTGTGGGTCGTTCCTTTTTACAGAGCGTGGCGAAAATGAATGAAATGGAGACGCCAATGGTACGAAAGACAGTATTCAATGCCGTTCTGATTAATGCGGACTGACAATATAAAATAACAATAATGATAAAGATTATAAGACCTATAGATAGAAGAACGATTGTCTTAACCAATCTATGTAATCCTAAAGATTCAAGTACTGTTGATTTTTGCATTTGTAGTATGCTTGCGGCGTTAGAATCCAGAAATTTCGCTGAATTAGATATTTCGTGCTCTGCGTTTTCGGAGGTTAGTTCTGCTTCGCTTGGATATTGTCTAGCCTTTGGAGAAGACCGTTCTTCGGCAGCATTTAGGCGATTTTTGATGAGATAGATATCCGTGGAAATTCTAGCCAAATCAGAATGAAAGATTGGTGGCGCATTAAAGACGAAGTCTTGGCTTATTAATCCACTGGGCAGATTCATGTGAATATTTGTTACTTGAGTATATCCTGCTGGGGATTTATAGTGATTAGTGCCGTCATTGTAGATAGCAAAAGGTAGGTGGCCACAGTCGGCTGTTGGACTAGTCGTGATCAGGTCACGTGTTCCAGGTTGAATAAAATAAAAGGTTTTTCCTGAGCGAACAGGTGTAAAGACATAGCATGTTCCTTCCACATTATGATCGAAGATGATTTCGTCTATTACAATTTCTTTGCACCTCGAAATCATAAGAACATCACCCGCTGCTAAGGCGAAAATATCTTCGCGATTTAGGAGCATGCGAGCGGCGCTAGTTGGGTTGAGTTGAGCTATGCTTTTAATCGCTTGGATTTTGAAGTTCATAAGAGAGCAAACGCGATCTAACAGGAAATGGAAGTCTTGTTGTATCATATCTTCCATTTTGAACTTAAGGAACTGCATTTTGGTATTAAGTTCTGCGTGCCGATTATCCTGGCGCTGTTCGTGGCTAAGGGACGCGTCATTGTTCATGACTGTAAAGTCTGGTTCTGAGTTAATCGCGATGTGGTGAGCTATTTGTGCCGAAACATTCGGTTGTATTCTATTCAAAGTGTCCTCCTTAACTTCCAAGGGTGATTCCCTAGGCTTATGCAGTAATGTTGTAAGCGCTTTGTGTTACTAGCTATTATATCAGCTTGACGTTTCTTGTGAGCTTTGATAACAAAGTCTAGCAAGTGCTTTTTCAATGTTTCATTATTAAATGAATGAGCAAATTTATAAAGAGCTGATAAGTCTTCATATCGCTTAGAATATCGCGGAGGCTTAGTTGTAAGTGGCATAGAGAAGGGGTTTCTCTGGGGATATACTATTGGATGAGGAGTTGTGGATGGTGAATGTTCTGTGGGAGAATCAGGACCAAAGGTTTCCTGTGGCTCTTTTTCGAGAGGGAAATGGGATTTGGTGTTTCTTCCTTAGTGGTTTCCTCCGTGTCTCGATACATGCGAGAAGATTGGGTTATAGAATCCATGAAATGTATAAGTTGAGAATTATGGAAGTGCTGCTGATTGATGCTTACTACCACATCCGGATGTTCCGTGAATACAGTTCTAGGATTATGGTCTCCTAGTTCTGGTAATGTGATAAATACGCCATTATCCATAGGGATTGCGTGCTTACTTAGACACCAGGTATTCTTTTGGGATGGTGAGAGTGTTACATTTTTATATGTAAAAGCAGATTGGATGTTATGTAATACTATGTGCGTTGGTGTAACATACGCAACACCCTCAGTAGCTTTAACGTAACGACAAAAGGGATGGTTGGTAAGTGGTCGTTCCCAAAGTACTGTACCATGGGAAAGAATGCATTGATTTTTCCCTATATTGCAATGCGCCATATTACCGAATTGTCCCAAAAGGTGGGTGCCATCAAATGTTGCGATATCTCCTTTTTCGAAATAGAGATTAGTTGATACCGTACATTTTTCGCCAAAGAACCATGGGTAGGAGTAGTGGATCTGATTTTCTGATCCATACACATTTGGGATAGTGGTTCAAGAGGAACTCCCATGTATTTTTTGGTTTCGGTTATAGATTTACAGATGGAAGGTTCTACTGGTGTCATGAATTCCTCATCACTATCGACTGAGAAAGAAATATGCAGGTAAGAAGATGCACATATTCTCCTAGTTTTGTTGAAACAATGATGTGCTGGGATGAGAAGGGGTTCCGTTCGTTCAACATAAAGGTTAGCTGCAGTAATTAGAACGTCGGAAGCATTTGGAGAGCTTGTACATTGCATGATATCTGGATAAGCTACTGGCCAACCAGATTTTCCAGCAGCGCATAGCTGATATTTCAAGGAGTGAGAGGTTGTTGGGAGTATAAAAGACGCGATAATTGTTATGATGAACAGAGAAGTAATAGGTTTCAAAAGTGACTTAGAGATACAAGAAGAAATGGAATTTACTGGATGGCGCGGTGCTGAGCGTACACCTCTCTTATTATCATTTGAAGAATCGCCGTTGCTGATTGTTATTATTATTATACGAAGGCGACCGAGTTTCTCGATTAAATGGTGAAGATTGTCTATTCCTGTTTCTACGATAGTACGGAGTTTGGTCTCTACGGAATCTATTTTGTGGAGTTGTGAATCTTACTGAATTGCGTGGTGGAGTGTTGGAACGAGGACGGAGATTGTACTGATTACGAGGGCCATTATAGTTACTGTATGGGCGGTTAGACTGAAAATTTGGATTATACCTGAACTGTGGTCTAAATTGTGGGCGAAAGTATGACATGTTTGAACTTCTGAAGTTTTGACGCGGGGTAATAGTGTCTAGAACTTTATCGATTTTAGCTATAAGTATACTATCCCCTGGAGAGCGCGTGTCCATTTTGATTAAGTCCCACATGCGTTCTGAATCTCGAACTAATTTGTCGTAGTTGAGAGGTAAGGGTCCAAGAAGTTTAAGTCGCTGTTTGATTTGGTTTGGTAGTGCATTAGTAAATACCATGGTCTGGAGGAATCTTCGCTTATCTTCCAAGTGAGCATTGGGGTAAGCGTCAAGAATTTCTTTGCGAACTCTATTGGAGAAAACTACAGGAGATTCCCCTGGTTTCATTTGCATATCCATAAGTTTTTCTCTTGCCATATCAAGGAAGTGATCGGTGGAAAAATGTTCTGTAAGTTTACTTATTGCTGCACGCCAGTCTTGTTTAGCCTCATGAGGGAAATTTTCGAATACTGCTTTGGCAGTACCATGTAAGTGCGCTGGGAGGAGACGCACCATTTTATCTTCAGTTAGTCCCATTATGTTTGCTATTTCGTAGAATTTTTCGAAAAAGTGCATCAAGCCAGTTCCCCCATTTTCTCCTGAAAAGGTGGGAAGTTTAGTAACGTAGGATGCAAGGCAAAGTTTGTCGAATGCGGTGTCCAAGCGTTCCGTTGTATCAGAATCCATGGGTATATCGTGATTATCTGCACTGCGGTGAGTTAACAAAGTGATTTCAGTATGCAGGGATGATAGTGGGTTAGTGTGAATGAGGTGCACTTCTACTGATACGTTTTGAATGATTGAGTCTTCAAAAGGTGGGATTTGTTGAGGAATGGGGTCGGTTGGTATTAGTTGCGGATGGTCGGAGTTAGTATTGCTGTTGTTTCCTTGATTTCCTTGAGGCTGATGAGCTTCAATTTGTGGCTGAGGAGTGGTGTTACGTGGTGTACCAGGAGGTGGTGAAAGGTTAGATGAGAGTGAACTACTGTAGTCTGTTAGAGAGGATGAAGAAGAACTACTGGGCAATGGCGGTGCAGATCTAGCACGAAGGAGGTCGCGTGTATGACGAGTGCGACTTAAAAGTAGAGGTGGTACTGAGATAGCTCTGAACTGACCCCTGTATCGGATTCTTTTTTGAATTGGTGAATTGGGTAAGGTAAATCTTAATCGTCGTTTGACTGTAAAAGTTGGGGTGCGGCGAATACCGTGAGTTCCTTCTCGGTTTGTAAGTGATTCAGAATCAGAATCGTTCATAAGTTGATAAAAGAAAACAAATTGATTTGTTATATAGCTTATTCACTTATTTATATAATGATAAGGATTGGATAGTTGTTAAGTTAGTTAGGTGTTAGTGTTTACCTAAGCCCTATGTGAATGGGATTGGCATAAGGAGTACAATGAGTGGCTAGTTGGTTAATTGGGTTAGTTGTAATTGAAAGACTTACTGTAATTGATTTGTTGAGAGGGTCACTTGATGTTCGAGAACCGAGGATGAGAGTCGACCGAACCAAGAGGTTTGGCAGAAGCGAATGAGGTTCCATGATCAAAATGAGAGGCTTTTATACCGATAAGAGTGTAATGTTACGGCGAAATTTGGCATTTCGGAGTGAAACATGCGTCATCCGGCGTGTGAGTGGAGTAATCGTAGGCTCGGGTATACGGTAGCCGATGGAAGCGAGGATGTGGTGAGAACAATGAGGAAGGTGGCTGGTTGTAGGTCGTTTTTATTATATAGGTCACTGTAATTATAGGAATAAAGTGAATTATGGAGAAAAAATGAAAAAAACAACATTATTTTATCATATGTAGTGATTTTGTAGGCGTTTTCTTTGATTAAGAAAGCTTTGTTACACCACGGGTGGAAATAATCGTTTTTTTGTTTCACCCTCATTCAATAATTTTGAGCATAGTAGAGAGCGCCTGCTTTTAGTTTGAACGCAAGGCGTACTCATCTATATTATCTTTGTGATGCCGCATCGAGGAAGCTGGAGGTGTCGGATTCGGAATTTATGGTTGCGCAGCCGTCGTTATGCACCGGTTGTTCGGAGGCGTGAGGTAAATGCGGGGTATTGTTACAAATATAAGGCATTAGCTGCTCTGCTGTTCGCAGTGACCACCGTCTCCTAATTGTTATCTCTTGCCCTTTTGTTCACCATTCTTATGAGATTTATCTATTAACTTTCAAATGAAATGAAGTGGTAGACTGATTCGATGGCTTTTTAGAGATAGCAATGCAGGCGCGCCCAGATCTGAGTAAGCATTTTGTCTCGTATCCAATGGAAGAGCGGTCGGTACGTTATGTTCTTGATGACACCGAAGAAGATGAGGATCGCGCGATGGTACCCGTCAATGTGAGTTTCGTTATTGATAAGAGGAGTAGCAAATTTTATTCCTTCGGTTTTTAGAGTTGCCGGCCTTTCCACGTGGAAACCTTTTGGAAAGTAAATTTAATTTCGCTTGTTCGTTATGAGCGCGAACGAGCGATCGCCGCTGCTAAAGAAGCGGATCGCATTCAAAATCTGTTTCTACGTAAGGCAGCCATGAAGGAAAGAGACCTACGCATGAATTTCCAGCGGGCATTGCATGCGCACGATGTAAGTGTTTGGAAGTTATAGGTCAATATGCGAAAAGTAAGTACGCAATTCAGGAATATGTGAAATCTTGGATGGAGAGAAATCGCACCATGCGTGGACTTAGCCGTGGCCGGAGTCGCAAACCAAACTATTAGCCTACTCGGACTTGATTCTTCATTTTCGCTTGAAACTATTGGCGAAATAAACTGTTGCTCAATTCGCGCTGATTGATGAGAAGGGTTGATACGCCCTTTTATTTTTCATTCATAATGTTTTGATTTTGATTTAAAGTTTGTGATTACCTTTGAACAGGTTCGGAAAAGAAAAATGGATCAGAATAACGTGTATCTCGCAGAATATATGCAGTTCCAGCGGACAATGACCTCTTATTTAGCGGTAATAATGATTACTTGCAAAAGAACGTGAGCATAATTAATGTTATTTGCAGCCCCCCTTGTGCAATGGCTGTGGTGATACTTCGTTGGAGGCTAGAATGCTTACGGCATTCTATATCGAAGCCCGCGATGAGGCTGACCAGCAGGAAGAATTGAATAGGAGGCAGTTACGGGAGCTGGAGGCCTGGGAAGTGAATGTTGGCGACACTTCGACTAACGTGGAGGAATTCATTTGTTTTCTACACGCAGTAAGTGCATTTGATTGTTTTTCTAAGAGTGTCTCTCTGGATTTATTTGATATGTTTTCAGTATGAGTACGTGCATAGCACCGAGGTGATTGCGTTCAAGGATTTCGTAGAGAGCGGTGTCCGCATTGGACAGATTGAGGGTCACCTACCCTTTGAGCCGATTGAAATTGGAGAAGGGGACCTCCCCGAGCCAGAGTTATGATCGATTGTGTTCATGTTGAATAAAGAATTATTGAATTGTTAACTAGTATTGGAAGTGTGATCCTATGTCTTTCAAAATTGGCCGAGCTTTGAACGTTGTGTAAATTCTAGGAGGCATAGCCAGCATACTGTAGTGCGGCAAAGATCTTAGGTGAGGTGGGGTGTAAATCAGCTCGCGTAGATTCGCGAATCTCGAAGCGATTGATGGGTTGTCAGTGAAACGCGGCGTTGCGATTCGGTAGCTGACTAATGAGTGTAGGCGAACATCGAGGTGCTAATTTGAGCCTACGCGACGGAATGAAGCGTGGTCGTTTATCAAATAGCGGCGCCGAAATGACAAATGATTAGCTCATAGTACGATAGTTTGCCACTATAATACTCAATTGATTAAGAATTAGTTAAATGAGGTTAATTACGCCTCGAACTAGTTCTTCGAAACAAGCATGCGGATTGAAGTTTTTTTAGTATACTGTATGGCGAAGGTCCTTTATTAAATTATGCGCGACATTTATTCTATTTTTCATTATTATAACTGACATTTTATCGTTTCATAACATATAACTAGATCTTTTATGTTCAATTCTATTCAAAACTGGGCTTATGTGTTCAAACAGGCATGTATTCAAAGTTATTCTTATTATATTTCTTTGGTTTCCAGCTTATTTTCTTATTAGTAGAATTATTGTATATAGTAGTATAGTTTTAGTGTATTTGCACTAATGCGCGTAAGCTGACGCAGTAGGTAATCAAAAGTTCGCTGAAAATAGCTAAAGGCGCTTTAACAGGTACGTTTTACTTATTTTTCGATTATATGTAAGTAATTCTAAGATTTTTAATGTATCAGTAAGTTATCAATTTATTTGGGTAAATAATGTACTCGTCTGAAAGGGACTTCGCCGGGACCATTATTTTTGGAGAGGGGAAGGTCATAGTCCATGCACCAATTGCAGAGGGACATTTACGGGGGAAAATAGGGTGCTGCAAAGCACCTGAACAGTCTAGACATTTCTAGGCCTTCCATTTTTCCCTAATTCGTGTGAGGGTTGAGAACAAGACAAAAAAGAATTTACTAGAAAAACATAAATCACAAAATCATACTTCGCCCCGCCCTAACCTGGCGAAGATACATTGTTCATAACTGAACGCCCGCGAAGACACTGACCGGCACCAGATAACCACCAAGAGATTACTCATGGATTAGGTCCGGGGAGCATGGAGGCCAGTCCAAAACGTCTACATGGTGACCCCTTAGCCACTCCCGAGTTGAACGCGAGACGTGTGCAGGAGCGTTATCCTGTTGGAAAACGAGTCTTCTTCGCCTGTGATCGTGAAGGTAAGGAAGCAAACTGCGCTGAAGAATATCTTGATACTCTTGCGAATCCATGTGCGTGGAGACGAATTCCATATTCAGCGTTCCATAGAAAGAGAAGGCCGCCCATACCATAACAGTTCCTCCGCCAAATACACGTTTCGAAAAAATCCTGGGCTCCTTTCGTAGATCTCTCCAGTAATAAGCATGCCCGTCAGGACCATCCAGATTGAATTTCTTTTCATCGGAAAAAATTACCTAAACCATGTAGGAGCTTGGTAATGCACTTTGTAAAATGAGTCAAAAACCTCACCTTTCGCCAGTTTCTTGAAAAAATTTTTCTCGCAAACTCGAGTCGGGCTTCGCGATGGCTCCTGGTCAGACGGGGAGCTGGCTTCATCCTCTCCCACCTCAGGAATATCTGACGACGAATAGCTCGCAACACAGTGGAAGTCGACACATTTAGTGAAAGTCGTGCACGAATTTGATTGGCACTCATGGTTGAATTGGAAGCCAATCTAGCGATCCGTCTGTGGTCGGGCTGTGTCAATTTGAGTGGACGCCCTGCTCCGCGTGCTTGACCGTAAGCCGTAGGATTCTTCACGAAGCCGTCGATGCAGCGTCTGGATCGGCCGAGTTGTTCCGCGATGGCCTTGTTGCTATGGCCTGCTTGACGAAGAGATAGAATTTGGCTTTGTTCTGCTGAAGATAGACGACGACCTCTAGGCATGGTGGACTGCTTTTGATTTCGCAATCCTGCCACATCCGTACAGAAGGCGGTAGGGCTGCGCAGGATTTGAGATATTTCGCAACAACAACAGCATGGCATATAAAATTGACGCGGCGGATTTTCCCTTTCTCACCAGAAAAAGGGCGCTACTGCAGCGTTCAAATATGTTTAGGCTGTGTTGATATTCTTGCTCACTCACTAACTGTTGGTCAACATTTCAGCTCTCAATGTTGCCTAACAATTCAGATAACAGAAAAAATAGGGGATGGCATATAAAATTGACGCGCACTGAGATTACCACCTAATATGTATAACTTGCGATAACTCTACGCAGCTCGCTTGTTCTCGAGTACTGCTAACAAAACTGCTGCGCTGAAAACTTGGACTCACAGGGGGTTTTTTTTTTTTTTTTTTTTTTTTTTTTTTTTTTTTTTTTTTTTTTTTTTTTTTTTTTTTTTTTTTTTTTTTTTTTTTTTTTTTTTTTTTTTTTTTTTTTTTTTTTTTTTTTTTTTTTTTTTTTTTTTTTTTTTTTTTTTTTTTTTTTTTTTTTTTGGCGTTATACTAATAATTATGTGTTACTTCTCTTGTATTGTTTTTTATTTTCTCTTTAGTTACTTTCCGCGATACTCGTCGAGCGCATACTGTGCTTCACGCACATCGTGCTCTCAGCTTGAGCTGATTACCACGGCACCTCAATGTCAGGATGTTCGAACAGGAGATATTGATCCTTAGGTATAGAGAAAGGTATCGAACGCCTGTGTCGAGCCGTCTCGCAAGACTATTTCGGCTTCGATTAAAAAACGGAGTAGGTTGGGTTGTTTGGTGTTCTTCGATACTCAGCAGATTGGTAGTATAGGTAGCAGTCAGTTTAACTCTAATACTATCCAATCGCCCTGGAACCAAATGCGTCTGTGATATGGAAGACAGCACCACCAATTGGTAGACGACATACTAATGGGGAACTTTTGCGTTCTTTTGTCTAGTACGCGATTCTCGCCGGTGGTAGCTGGGCCCGTGGAAGGTGCGCATTCCTACCTGGATAAATCTCCGCTTCCAGATAATCCAATATCCTTCTATTTTATAAAGCGCTAACTTTGTGTGTCGGTTTGTATGTCTGTATGTGTGTGTATGTATGTATGTATGTATGTGTGTCCGTCCGCAAAATGAAGTGAGTGAGAAGGAAGCTCATGGGATAAACAAACCGCTAACAGAATCATGTAGCTCACAGGACTTTAGCTATTAGTGTTTTGCAATGGCATGATTGTGATAACACCCCAACGGCTATATAAACACGCACTTAGCACACTTTCGGTCATTCGACAAGGTGATGCTGTGGTAGCCGGCGAGCAGAGGGGAACGAGGGGAGAGTAAGGAGAGGAGGGAGAAGGGAAAGCTTACGCAAGGTAGGGAGGTTCCGGCGCTTGCCGGGGGACCAATCTGGTGCTGCATATAATGTGCATAATGCTTCATAATGCTCCGGAGTGGAAAAGTCTTCTTAGTAGATTACTTGCACCAGGAATGTTTGAGACACCGACTTGACACCGCTGTCTCCCGCACATTCGACTCACAGCTTCCAAATGGCAGGAACAGAAACCTAAAAGCAGTAGGATGACGATGGAGGCTTAGGTTCGAGTACACATTATTCACTGATTCCTGTAAGATCACCAGTTTGTCAACCTTTGTTGTCAAATGATATAACGCTGTTTTCAATGACTAACTAAATATTATATATTATATATTGCTTATATGGGTGGTGCTCGTAGAATATACAGCGAAAGCGATGAATTAGTAATGATGAGCATCCTGACTTTGATTTCCGGTGGTGTGAGTAACCTCCCCAACGGACGGAGTCTATAACAGTGCCAGACATGGAGAGACCAAACACTCAGCGATTCTTGGTTAGTCTAAAAAACGTGACCACACATAGAGCTGTGAACCACCATAGAGCATTGGATGAATAGGTAGGAGAGTGAGGGCCTTTGCTTTTCCGTTCTACCTAGCAATTCAGCAGCCGACTCAAAGTGCCTGCTGCTTTCGAGCCAGCACTTCAATTTAACTGCTAAATTGTTAGGTACTCGGAAGACTTATACAGCATAAGGTTTTCAGAGGAGAGCGAGAGGGCTGAATTTTTGAATTAGCAAGTAAACTTTGAGAAATTCAGATACCTAAAAAATTGTTGCAGAAGTGAAATAACGTTCTTGACGGATCATTGGCCCAAAATCGCCGACATAGGTCTGGAATGGACAACAGTTTCGTCTTTTCAGTGTAGCCAAAAAATATCAAAGAGGCGACAGCATTATTTGGAAACAGAATTAACCGTGGTATTTTGACCATTTTGGGGGTGCGGCCCCTTCTCAAAACCTCAAAGAAGTTAGTTAGATTGGATGAAAAACCTTTTCATAACTTAGAGCTTGAAAGAACAAAGAAGAAGTTCGACATCCGTTTTTTCCTCCTAAAATACGTCTCCTAAGCAGCAGGCGAACCTTGCTACTGGGTGAGAAAAATTCAAAAGCCTGCAGTTACAGGAATAATCACAAAATTAAAAGAAAACTGGAGAATCAAAGAGCAAGGTGAAAAGAAGCATAAACCGGCAAAGTATGTCGAGTCATGATTCCAAGATGGAAAAGTGCACTCAACTGTGAGGTAATGCACATCCGGCTGTGCTAAGTGCTAGGGTGTTAGCGATTTCCGGACACCATATCTTTCGCGCGAGTCATTGCAAGGGCAATGGCGAAGGAACGACATAAAGCAAACGCATGCGATACGAGAACTCGCCCACTTGCGGTTAGTATAATAGTAGCAATGAGCCGTGAATCGGTTTTTTTTCAGAAGGTTAAGTTAAAGGAAATGGTCCCCATGCCCATAAACCCCATAGAGCTGAATGGGGAACTGACATAGTGAACTGAGTACGAGACCTATCAGAGAGCCGGTAGTTGGCACTCAAGGAGCAGGGCGCTCGCTT